CTTTCCCTTGTTCTGCTGGCTCAGTTCCTGTTGCTACAGCTCCATGAGCTGCCTTCATTGCTCCACAGGCCACACAGGCATCTTCTGTTCCATAGGACTCCTGTGTCCTTTTTAGCATAGCTGGCCAGACTGTAGCATTTACTACTGCAGTGGGTTAGTCTGTATGAGGTACAGGATTTTGCTTTTGATCCTGTTGAATTTAATGAGATTTGGTTTTGCCCATGCCCTTAGTCTTCCCAGAGGCTGGCAATCAGTCCTCCTGAATGGCAGCCATACTCTTGAGTGTATCGATTGCACCCCACAGTCTGCCGTCATCTGCAGGCTTGATGAAGGCTCATTCCACCTCCTGGTTTAGGTCACTGATAAGGATATTGAACAGGATAGGTCCTGGAGCTGCCTCTGGAGGAGCTCCTCTTGCATCCAGTCTCTGGGTGGATGATGAACTGTTAACCTATTGAACCAAACAATCCAGATAATTTTTACCCGTGTTGTAGTCTACCCATCTAAACTATAACATCCCAACTTGGGTACACGGATGCTACGGGAGACCATGTTGAAACCTTGTTAATACCAAATACATTTTCAGGTATTTGTATATAAACTTGGAGCTCTTGACTTCCGCATCAAAATTTACTCAGAAAGTCTGAAACAGAGGCAATGACAGGCTGTGCTCAATGGTGTTTTCTAACAGAAAAGACCTGGAAAACATGGTGGTTGGACTAGGTGACCTTTGAAGTTCCCTTCCAACCCAAACTATTCTATGATTTTTGTTTTAAAATAATTGTAACTAAGTATTGTCTTTAGATTAGAGAAACAAAAATAGTTCTTTATCTTCTTTTATTAAGACTCCTATTTGGAACAGCTTACAAGGTGATTGGAACAGCTAACAGAAAACGTTACTGTAGGTGGGTTTTCCACATTGTTGCCTGTCTGGACAGAAAATAACCTTGCTATTTTTCCTGTCTTGAAAAGGCCCTTATCAATGACAGAAAAACTATTATATTGAACTAGGAACAGAAAGACAGCAATTGGTGTGTTTAACGTGGTAAACATAATTTAACTTTTAAATGGCTAAAACTTTAATATTGAAAAAGCTTCCATATCACAATAGCTCGCTGTCTAACTCTCCCTGCATTTATCTGGAATAGAAATGTGATACTGTTATGTTACAGTCTTTGGCTGGTAAATTCATAGGTTTGGGCTTTTTTTTCCTATGAATTTCCAAAAAAAGAAAGAAAGAAACAAACAAAAAGATAGACCAGGTTTTGTTACAGTGTATGTGGTGGAGGGAGACAGAATTTTTCTGTACCATAGTGGGTTTTATGTTGGAATAAATACAAATATTTTGCATCTTTGTAAAAGTACATTAACCACTTATCCTGGTTTCATCTGTTTGAAGACTTCATTACTAATATGAATATGTGATAGCCAACTGGTTTGCTTTTCATATTTGGAGTAATTCTTAAATTAACAAATGATATCAGTTAGCTTGGATGTGTTTTCGATTGCTTATGCCATCATCATATACATCTCTTAGGCTTTCTACTTTTCCATTCCACTTCTGCTTATGAAATTCTTCTTTGCTGCTCATTTTGTGTGCCTGCCTGACTTGAGAGTGAAATTGTAACTCAGGATAAATGATGATATATGCACATAGCAAATATGCAGGAATTTTGTCTCCTTTGTAGGATCCTAAAGAAAGATTGGTTTCCTGCAAGATAACTACGGGAACATAAATATCTGCAGAAAATGAAAGGGGAATTATGGACAACTGGAGGCAAAAATGCAGACAGTTGTGTAAAAAACCCTCTTTCCGTATGGTTTTGGGTTTTCTTTCTTCTTCCCCATCTTTCAACAAGTGTCACTCCCTCATGTTTTAATTTCTGTCTTTTGATTTTCTGTAAGCATGCAAGTAGTTCGTGATCACAGTACTGTCAAATATTGGTACTGTACGTGGTAACTGCTGACTTAGGGTGTTTGGGAAGCGGGTATCACCCTGGCAGGTGCACGACTACCGTTGTTTGGTATTCTGCTAACGCCTTGAGTATATGTAGTTACACAGCAGTCTGAACTGAACAGTGACAATCTTTTTTTTCAGAAATCTAGGAATAAAGAGCAAGCAGAGACAGCACAAAATGCTTGTAGAAGTGCAGAACAATCAATCACAGGGAAACACGTGACATTTGGGGAAATACTGTTAAAAAAAGCACTGCGGCGTCTTTTGATGTTACAGGTAGCCAATATAATCAGTTTCCCACACCGGTAATATGAGATTTTATTTGTATGTGAAAAGCTTTTATTTTCTACAATGAGGCATTTTCAACATGTGATGTAAATAACAGTACCGTATGAAATGATTAACAGGCTTAGCCTTCAGGTACCCAAAGAAGTGGCGTACGAGAAATATGTTTAAATCTCACAATTTTGCAGGGAGTGAGCTGGATAAAGCTTCGTTCCGCTTTTCCTTCTCGATTCTGAAGGCAAGATTTACTAACAAGAGCTACTTTAGCTTTTTATTCTAGTATGGAAAGTCCTAGGAACGCGGGCAGTTTTGCTATAAACAAGTGCATTTCCATTGAGTATACTTCTGCCTTTTTAAGTGGAAAATTCTCCTTCCTGCCATTTAATATCCATCTTAGTAAAACATGGCTTCTCTACAAAAGTTTAGCCTGGTGGTTTGCCTGGAGTGTGTCTCAAAGATTATTGCACCTGACATAAAAAGTGGCCCTTGTGCCCAGCGTGCACTGGTGAATATTCATGTAATCACCTGAAAGGTTTTTCGCTGCTTATGCAGAAAGGCATTTCATGCAGAATAAATTCCAAACAGGCTCTATCATCAGTCTCCCTCCCCAGTCTCTCCTAAAAAAGCTACTGGGGGAAGGTGGAGAAAGAAATTTATATTTTCTTTCACGAATCCCAAAGAAACAAAAATCTACATTTAGCATTCATGCTAAGCCACTTTGGGAAAGATTCTGCCAACTTCAATTCACTCATTGTTTGGTTTGTAATAATTCTAAGCCATATGCTTTTTAAAACCCATTTAACTTGGGCTAGGTTGTTTTGGGAGAGAGCAATTATACACATTCTTAAAAGGAACACATATGTCTTGTTAGCCTTTTGCTCTAAGGCTCAGCCAGTTGTGTTTTAATTACAATATTGTTAGTTGAAATTACAGTCGCTGGTGTGCTTCTGATATTGAAACTCTTGATCATAGCTTTGAAAGCAGGGATCAAGGAAACAGCACTGAGCCCCCATGATGAAAAGGATACTGCTGAAAAGCATAATTAGCAACATTTTAATAGCCTTTTTAAAAGAAAACATATTTACGTATGTTTTTGCTTTTCTTTCTTTTTATCATTTAGAAGACTTGGTTTAATGTAAATGTTAAATCCATTCAGGATCTGTTGATTATTAGTAGCTACCAAATCCAGGATTTTAATCCATAATCTTTTTCAAATTTTTTTTTTTTTTAATCAGAAAATGCACTTCATTCAGTCTCTTCAGTATTTGGAGACCTTTAAGCTAGAGAAAAGCAGAATGGGGAGGATCTGATGAAGCAGGAGGAAAGGAGTTAGAGTTGGGTGGGTTTGGTTTGGGATGTGATGTTTGAGGGGGGTTAAGTCTTTCGTGATGCCACAGGCAACTATTTTTATTTTTTACTAAGTCAGCTCTGAATTTTTTAATTTGTGAATAGACAGTATTAATATGTGCAAAAAGGCTTCTGTTAAAAGTGTTTTATTATAGCTTCTTAAAGCTATTTTTGATAGCTTATTATTTTTGATAATATTAATGAGCTGGGCTCAGTTGAGAGCATCTAGGGAGTTTATTTCAAATTTGCTTGTCCAGTAGACCCAATTCCACTCTGAATGCTGGGATTCCAAAGCCTAAAAAAAAAAAAAGAGCTAAACTAGATTGTTTTGAAAAGAAGGTAATAGTGTACTAGCGCTGGGTTTTAGGGCAAAGATACAGACACAGGTAGCCTTAATAACCAAATTCCAAAGATGGTCCAGCTTCTGCCTGGGACAGCCTCTCTCTGTAAAAGGAAGGATTCGGTATTCGGCAGCTGGCTCGGTCCTTTTCGCCCTCTAGCAGTGTTGGGTTTTTAAATGTTAAAAGTCAGCAATAATTTTTTCAGTTGTATTCCTCCTAGCAGAGGTAGCAGATGAAAGCAAGAAAGACTTTCTCAACTGGAAGAAAGGAATTTATAATATAAAACTTGGGCACTCTTCTGAAAGGCGATTAAAGAGAGAGAGCTTGAAATGCTGTTCCTGGGGAAGTCTATAGCGTGACACAAGTTCCTTTTCTTTTTATGTATGTCTTAACTATTTTCATGGACAATCAATGCATCCTTATCTGTTGCACTTTGAAAAATGCGGATCTGTGGAAGTTCTTCCTCACAGCTGGAGAAGGAACCCAGGTTACCTGTTTTACCTGGCTTTCGCAACTCTGTACGCGTGGCTGTAGTTATTCTCGTTTAGGTCACTGGTGCAGTTACGGCTACTTTGGATAGCTAGCTGTTCTTTGGTTATTTGACTACAGCAGGTTCATTTGCTTCTCTAACAATTTAAGCAGTAATCCCGGTACATGTTAGCTAACTTTGACAAGAACCTGAGGATCAAGAGATGGCAGCGGTTGGTAACGGCACTAGAGTATTTATTTTCCATTGGTGTATTGAGTACGGGTTCAAAGAGTAAGAGTTTTATCAAAAACAAAATGAGCAAAACAGTTTTCCATGACAAATATAATGTGGATTGTTCACTTAGAATATTGTGATTCAAAAACTTTGGGTAGGCTGGCGAGAGAACACTATTTCAGAGAATGATCAACGCAGCATTCTGGTTTTGATCTCCAGTCACCTCTAACTGAAATAGAAAAGATTTTTGAAACTTAGGTTTTGGTATCACATTTGCTATTGAGTTCATATGAAAACAGTAAGAACAGCAGTTAAGTTTTTCTAAACAGTGCCCTACTAATGAATGCAATGACACCAGCTAGGGGTTTTACATAAAATGTAGGCAAAACTACATCTAGTAATCAAAATATGGACAACATTTAACTGCTTCTAAAGGAGAAATTGCAGAAATGTTTGCCTCTGTTCTGGCCAGTCCGTTGCCCCTTTAAGTTGTGTCAATACCCTCCTGTCATTTGTGGATGCTTCATTGGAAAAAAGTATGCTCCATATTGGTTGCCAAACATCCTGGATAGAATTTTTCATGGTTTGTGCTAAAGAAGGCATTCCATGCTGGGTATTTTTCTTAAGTACACGTATCTCAGTCCCGTCCCCTGAGGGGAAGAGGGGAGGAAGGGCAAGGTTCTTAGTTTTGCTTTAATTCATATCCTTAGAAATAAAATGAAATTGAGGAATTATTGAGGTTTCAAATATCTCTTACAATGGGGAAATAGTCCCCATATAAAGAGAAGGAGTAGAGAGGACACATTTGCCAGCTGTGGTTTTTGAGAATGATAGACTTGAGTTAAATCACATCCCTGATGCTTTAGATCTTCCTCTCTATGAGACAAGTATGAAAATTGAAGGCTGTTCAATATGTCATTTAGTGCCCTTCCTGAAGAGCTGCGTGTTCGTTAGAATGAGTATGGAATGAGAGCTCTATTTTTTCCTTTTTCTTCTGTCTCTTTAGCAGTTTGGTCAACAGGTCAGTGCCCTTTTCCTCATATTATGGTGAACCAGGAGTGGGAATTCCCATTTTCCTATTTGCTTTTTTTAAATATTTCCAATATATTTACAAAAAAAAAAAAAAAAAAAGCTGTTAAGAAGACGGTATAATCTTTTTAGATTTTTTAGCTAAATTTGTGAAGGATTAAGAGGAGGAAATAAAGGACTGGAAAACTAAAGCGGCTTGGTTTAATGTTTATTTTACCACTCTCAATTTCTTCTTCATACTCAGGTTGCTACTTTGGGACTGTGATGATCGGAGCTACAGCTACTACATTGAGGTTTCAACAAATCAGCAGCAGTGGACTATGGTGGCCGATCGCACAAAAATTTCCTGCAAGTGAGTTCAATTTTTTCCTACTTATTTGCACAAAGTTAGAACTGGAAAACTGGGTGGGTTTTTATTGTTCAGTACTTACATAGATGACTTTCTGAAGGCGAAAAGAATGATCATTATGTATCTTGTAGCTTTCTAACTCTAGACCCATGTAAATACAACTTTAGGAGGTAACAGCTTCTCGTGTGGCTGAATATCTAGATTTTCAAACCAGAATCAAGTTCTGAAGATCCACATCAGTACTGGATCTTCAAACAATCAGTTCATTCTCAGGAACAGACTGCCTACCTTAGACTTGGTTTTGTTATCACTGGAAGTTAAACCGTCTTTCTCCAGAGTTCACGTGTTTATGGTATACCTATATGCACTGACCACTCTGCTTTTGAACAGGACTCTTCCATAAAAAACCCATGCTTCTTAAAACGAGAGAAAAAAAGAGAGAAAACCTGTTTCATTTGTGTATTAAAATCAAGAGAAATAAGGCATGAACACTCTCCACATGTATACTTTACATTGGGTTTTCTGTAATTATCGGGTCTGCTGATAAAACCCATTCTTCTAGTATGGAAGAGTAATTCAGTCTTGATAGCCTTCTTAAAGTTCTAATTCTAAGTAAAGAATGATCCAGATACTTGTCGTGGGACAGAAAAGATAGAGTGCAGGTTTACACGTTGCATACCCCAACGCCAGGTATGCTTAGCATTCAGTGTTCATAGGGTATGATCTCTTGGCTGATCCCCAGGGAAGCTTAGGCTTACAAAAGTCTTATTTCTCTCCTTTTCCCCAAGTCATTTTTCCATAAGCTTTGCTTTCTTTCCCAGGACAAAATTGAAGTCATCAGCTCATATGGGGACAGCCCCCCTGTATTTGTGCCAGCCAAACCAAAATGGATTTTACAAATTCCAAGATGTATCTCAGTTTGTCACATTGGGCAAGAGAGTTATTCGGTCCTTTCTAGCAACACTGCTGATACACATTTTCTAAAGTTTTTATTTCATCTCTTTAAGAAATAGCACAATTCAAACGCCCATTACAATGTGGTCTAGACATGTTGGTGAAGAACTTGCATGTCCTTCCACTGTCTGTAAAGGGCAGGATATTGATGAGCAGAAAACCTGGGTTCTGCCTGCAGGTCTGGAAGAAGAGTAAAGGAGACTTAATCATTCTCAAAGGCATCTCAGAGTTAATAGATAAAATTCATCTTTTTGTCTGTCTCCAGCAGTGGGAGCACTAAAAGGCTGAAATCAGAAAAGAGAGAGGGGGAAAGTCTGAATCTGAATCTTTTTGCACTTTTTCCTTGCACGTTTTGATACTAATAGTCTATAACAGCCTAAAGGAGTACGTGCTTAAGTATGCACGGCATGGGTGGAACTGCTGGTTGACTGCCCAGTTCAAGTATCTACTCACCATGTTCAAACCACACATTATGTTTTTTAAAGCCTTAACCTTGGACAAGTATAGGTGCACCCCTGAAATGAAGATAGCTGCCTCCTTGTGGTATACTTCAAGATCTTGATTCAAAACATAGGTGCTCTGGAAGTCCTCAAAGCTGTGGCTGCAGGAACTCTTTTCATGGGGATTAGAGAATTTGCTTTTGCCTAACTCCTTGCTCTGGCAGACATGCATCCAGCTAGCAAAATGCCAGCCTGCAATTTTAACTCTGCAGTCTTAGGGTGTCCTAGCGCTGGCTGCAACTGTTACTTCTAAACAAATACAAAGACCCGGTCCTAAAACATACAATTACAAAAGCTCAGTGGTCTCCAGAACAATTCAGTTTAACAAGGCCTAGAAAACTGTAAAGAAAAAGCATCAACTCGAAAAATCTTACTTCTCACTGAAAGTTTTCTATGCTCTGCAGTTATGTTTAAACACTATATCATCTGTAAACTTAAGGTTTGTGACCCCCCACATGCCCCCCTCAATTTTCAGTTGATTTCTTTGCATTTGACAGCATTTTTTCATATTCTCTTTAAATCTCTTGCTCTTTATGATCAGCAAATTGGACTTCTTTTTCTTACAGTCACCCCACCACAGAAAAGAAAACCCTTTAAATGCGTTTAACTTTCTTTTCAAGTAGGATTTGCAGAAATGCTGAAGTGAATTCAGCTCAAAAATTACTTTGATTGTAATGGCACATTGATAACACCAAATACTATATAGATAAGTCCATGTATAATATAAAAAATAAATAGATATAATACTTATTTGTATATTTATAAATTACATATCCACCTGTTAATATATATTAAACATAAAAATATATATAATACCATATAAATGCCAAATGCTATAAATATTAGGGCTGTTCTGTAGAGAGCATCATCACTGCATACAGTCAGAGCTGGACCACTTTCATTTTACTGAGAAATACTGAAATGTGGTACTGTGACCATAAAAAGTCATATTTGTAGTGCTTGAAAATAGCTGAATGTAGAATGGAAGAGATATCTTTTAGTGACTTGTGCTCTGAATTAAGGCTCTCACTTAAAAATCGTTGGGCAAGATTTCAGTATGATGAAGGAGATGTCTTAATGAAAAAGAGAAAATTGAACCAGTCACTGGTAGGAATGTGAAGAACAGACTTTCTGGTTTAATTTCTGTATGTTAAAAAAAAAATAAAAATTAAATGATAAAAAAAAAGGAAGACATCTTGAACCACATTGAAAGACAACACGTGGAATTTTTTGCCCCCAAAACCCAAACAAGTTAATTTTATTCCATGTAATTTTAACAACAAAAACAAACAGAGGAGATGAAGAATTGTTTTTTAACCAAAATTAACAGGTGCTGTAGTAAGGCAGAGGTGGTGCAGTTTACCTGGTTTACCATCAGAGTGTAATGGTAAAGATACTTCTGCTGGATCGAAGAGGATTTTTTTTTCCCCTGTCTCTGCCCTTCCACTTACCATGAATATCTTGGTATTTTATGCAAACAGCATAGCTCCAGAAGAGAGAAATCTGCCTCTAAATGCCTTTTAGTGACTCAGGCAGTCTCCAAGGAAAAGCAAGAACCAAACTGGTGCGCTGTGCCTGGCTTTGACTCATCATCAGGTTTAGGCAGACACTTAAAGATTCCTGCGTTTGGCAATTTGCCTTAGCTGGGTGTCTGGGTTTCAGCTGGGACAGAGTCGATTTTCTTCCTAGTAGCTGGTATGGTGCTGTGTTTGGGATTTAGTGCTAGAAGCATGTTGATAACACACTGATGGTTTGGTTGTTGCTGGGTCGTGCTTAGACTGGCCAAGGGCTTCTCAGCTCTGCCAGGGGCACGAGAAGCTGGGAGGGGGCACAGCCAGGACAGCTGACCCCAACTGGCCCCAGGGCTATTCCATACCATATGGCGTCATGCTCAGTATAGAAACTGGGGGAAGAAGAAGGAAGGGGGGGCGTTGGGAGTGATGGCGTTTGTCTTCCCAAGTCACCGTTACGCGTGATGGAGCCCTGCTGTCCTGGGGATGGCTGAGCCCCCGCCTGCCCCTGGGAAGTGGGGAATGAATTCCTTGCTTTGCTTTGCTTGTGTGCGCGGCTTTTGCTTTCCCCATGAAACTGCCTTTATCTCACCCCATGAGTTTTCTCCCTTTTACCCTTCCAATTCTCTCCCCATCCCATTGTGGGGGGAGTGAGCGAGCGGCTGCGTGGGGCTGAGCTGCCAGCCGGGGTTAAACCACAATAACTGCAGGAGACTCTAGAAAAATAACTCGCACACTTTTCAGTGTAGGATATGCTGCAGCACCAAATGAAAGTGGATGGAGTTAAAACTCAGAATAATTTCACAGGGGCCCACATTTGAAGAGACAGAATACTTGCAATGGGAAAAACTACTTTGCTAGTAATATTCTCTATTCACTTTCCTGTCTTCAAAGACATGTGGATAGGAGTTGTTTCTTTTGCTGTTTGCTGCCCGGCTTTCTCTCTGCCCGGTCTTGCAGTGGAGTTACAATCCTTTGTGGAAGCCATCATTGTGGTGTCTCGCAAGTGTCCTGTGAGGTCTCCAAATCATTTTGCTGAATACCTGGCACAAGGGGTAGGGTGATCTATAAAGGTAGCAAACACCTCAACAGACACCTTCGATGATCAGTAAGTGGCAAATGAAACAATGAGAGAGAAAATGAAATGATGTTTAATAGCATATATTGGTTTGGGCAGTCTACTGAAGCATCAACTTCCCCTTTAAACTATCAGTATGCTGCTTTGGGTTGTTTTAATGGTATTTTTAATGTAGTATTTTGTGTAAACTGTATTTTGTGTAGTTTTGGCCCCTCACTACAAGAAAGACGTTGCGTTGCTGGAACGTCCAGCCACAAAGCTGGGGAGGGGTCTGGAGCACAAGGCTTACGAGGAGCGGCTGGGGGAGCTGGGGGTGTTCAGCCTGGAGCAGAGGAGGCTGAGGGGAGCCCTCATCGCCCTCTACAACTGCCTGACAGAAGGGGGGAGCCGGGGGGGGGTCGGCCTCTTCTCCCTGGGAATGGGCAATGGGACGAGGGGGAATGGTCTGAGGTTGTGCCAGGGCAGGTTTAGGTTGGACATTGGGAAAAATTTCTTCTCAGAAAGGGCTGTCAGGCTCTGGAATGGGCTGCCCAGGGAGGTGGTCGAGTCCCCATCCCTGGAGGGATTTAAAAGAAGGGCAGATGAGGTGCTTAGGGACAGGGTTTGGTGGTGGGATGGCAGGGTTAGGGTAACGGTTGGACTTGATGATCTTAAAGGTCTTTTCCAACCTAAACAATTCTATGATTCTATGATTCTAAATTAATAATTCAATGCTCAAAGCCGGGAACTGACACTACTCCTAGCCTCCTCTTTTCCCAATTTTAAAAGGCTGAAGACAGAAACTGGATGGCTGTTACCTTCACAGGGGAAGCTTGCTTACCTTCCCAAAGTGAGAGCCAATTAAGGCACACTGGTTGTGTAATTGTCAATTTTCAAATGCTCTGTGGAGCTTTTTTTTTTTTCTTTTCCACAATAAGCTGTTTTTCTCTACACAGTATGACAGTAATGAAAAACAGTCAT